GTTGTCTCATGATTGTTTTGTTGTTGTGAGGTACCAGGTTGGGGATCCACTTCTTCAACAGAGCTCCCTGGTGTGGCTGGTGGAGTATTTCTTTTCGAACGCCTTGTTCTTTTTTTAATAGGAGAACTCATTGTAGTATCGAGGCTCCTGGATCTAGTATTTTTACCCTTGCTCGACATTAGCATATGATAATATCGCATTTCATATTATAAGTGATAGGAAAAATTGTAAAATGAGAAGTGATAACAAATTTTTTTTTTTTTTTAAACACGGAAATATATACGCGTGCTTAGAGAGGACTGATCGGCACAGAACCTCCTCGGACGGAGAGCCAGAGCCCACTGGTGGGATTAGCGATGTTATGGCCGGCCGCTATCAGTAACTAACCTGAGGTCTATTTACACTGTTCACTATTGAGCTGTAAATAAGTGATTACTCACCTTATTCTTTTGTTCAGTAACAAACTTAATTGTTAATATAACAGGTAACACTGTTGTTTCGCATTAAAGTTGAACACTACCACTATTAATGAAGAATTTTGTAAGAGATGACCTGACGTATGTTTAACTTAGGCTAACGCATGCGCAGAACTGACATACTTTCCTGGCTTATACATATTATTATCGTGATTAGCATCAGCGAATTTTGTCAGGGGGCATGCCCTCCCTTGGATGATGGAAAAAAAATCCGAAAAAAGTGACAAAAAACAGCTATTTAAAGAAAAGAGAAATGTATTGAAAATGCATCTCCATACACGAATTTCCCAATGTAATATAAAAAAAATTTATTATGGTGACCACCCCTAGCGAATTCTGCCATGGTGCGCACCCTCCCTTGGATGGTGGAAAAAAATATCGAAAAAAGTGAAAAAAACATCTTTTTAAAGAAAAGAGAACTGTAGGAAAAATGTATCCTCATACACGAATTTCCTAATGTAATATAAAATAAAAGTTACTGTCGTGACCAGCACTGGTGAATTCTGCCAGAGGGCGCGCCCTTCATTGGATAGTGGAAAAAAAATCCGAAAAACAAAACAATTTAAAGAAAAGAGAAATATAGGGAAACTTCATCCTCGTACATGAATTTCCTAATGAAAAAAAATTATTATCGTGACCACCACCAGCTAAATCTGCCAGGGGCCGCGCACTGCCTTGGATGGTGAAATATCATAATATCATAAAATTCCAAATATCATATATTTAAAGAAATGAGAAATATAGGGAAAATTCATCCTCATAGACGAATTTCCTAATGAAAAAAAAAGTTATTATCATGACCAGCACTAGTGATTTCTTCCAGGGGCGCGCCCCTCCCCCCTGCCGTATAAGGATATTAGTAAAATCCCGTAAAGATATTAGAAATTTATTCTTTCGAGCCACCTTTTATTCGAGCACAAGAAAAAACGGGTTTTCTATTGATTTTTATTTAGTTTCAATAGATCTGAACGCATTGGATCTGAACCTTCAGCGACTATAATCTCCTTGAAGAATCCTTGTGAATTATAAAACTGGTCACGATAATGAGTTGTATATTTCTCATTAGAATGTGTTGTTCTTTTATTAAAATAGATGCTGTTGGGAACGTTTTCATAAAGGAATGTATTAATTACTTGGTCTAATAAGGCATTAATTAATCTGATTATGATCGGAATCGGAAATTATTCTGTTTTTTTTTTCTTAGAAAACTCATTTCCAAAATGCAGGGCCATTCACAGTAATCTTTCTCACTGTTTAGTAGTAATACATGAAAAAAAAAAAAGATCAGATAAATCTGGAATTTTCGGCTGTAAAATGTTTTCTCTTGGTGACCCGTGTTAGCAATTTAGTTTTTTAAATGTCTAAACCCATATACAGGGTTTCTCGTATGTAGTGGGAAATATTTAAAGGAGTAATAGCAAAACTCAATAAATACATAAAAGTTTATATAAACAATGGTTCGTTTAGCAGCAAAGTAGGGAATTAAAGTTTTGTGATTTTTTATGTGTCACGTTTTTTATTGAATAGGAAGTGATAAAAAAAATATTAATTTAAGTATTTAATTATAGCTTCACTGAAAACAAGTTAAAATTTACTCTATATAAAAATAGAGTTTGCTTTTGTTAAAACCATTTAAAGAGGACTTTTGAGCGGTTAAACTCAGCAAGGAATGGGGGAACGGGTTAGGGGTGGGAAAATCACGTGGTACAGGGGTGCGCCCCCCCCTGAGAAAATTCCTAGAACCGCCACTGAACCAGTCACATCTCACCAGTAAACAGCCACGACCATAATGCCAATACTGTATGTCTTTCTATATATCAAATTTAACTAGCTTCAGACTCACACTTCCAATTTAAAACATCCTTAAAACTTACGAAGACACAGTGCTGTCAGTGTTGATTTTTTTTAAATTTAATAATTTGTTAAATCATTTTTTTTTTAGTTTTATTTTTGTCTATTTATTGAAATTTACAACTTTATACAAATACAACTAGTAAACTTGCACAAATTAGAAATAATGACACGAACAGGCTTGAAGAGATACTACCCAGTGGTAGCACTCTCTAAATAATTCTAGCTAAGAAGATCTTGAGGCCATCTCCTTTTCAGACGCCTAGGAGGATTACCAGGAATCGAGGAAGAAGCAAGGGTGGAAACAAGGGGATTTAAATGGGACTGGAGCTTATCATGAAAGGATAGATATCTGGTTCGGGCTGAATCAGCGACATACACGATAGGAATTCGATGGTTTGTTGGAGCCCCAAAGCTCAACTCCATATTTCCATATAGGTCTTATTATAGTTATGTAAATAAGTCTTTTGTAATTAATTGAAAGTTTAGAGCGTTTGTCTAGTAAGTATTGGAGCATTCGGAAACGTCAAACAGTTTTTTTGTAGTTTCAGTCTAGTATAAGGATTCAAAGTAGGGCGTTTATCCAAGTGGAGTCCTAAGTAGCGGATTTTCACAACAGGAAACAAAATTTAAAAGTTAAAATCTAAATATAGTTCAGTGAAAAAGAAACTAAACGCAGGCGTTGATGACTGCAATATTTTACGCCTAAATAAACCCCAAAAAAGGACAACAAATCGCCAAACCAACTGGAGACGTGGGAGCTCCTGGGGACTCCAAAAATAAATCCAATGAAATAATTTATTAGTCTCTTTAATCTGATCTCAATCCCACCAGACAGTCCACCGTATACAAGGCAGTCATAATCGAAATGAGGGAAAATGAGAGAAGAAACTAGGAGCTGGCGGATTTTAAGGGGCATGGAATCACGGAATCTCAGGAATTGTTTGAAGGTAACATGCAGAGTAGAAAGGATTTTCGGATTATCTGGGAAATATGATTATTCCAGGACAGATATTGATGAAACATTGCCCCAAGGTTTCTGTTGAAAATAAATCCAGTTTATTCATATCATATTTTAACATGTCGTCGGCGCCATTCAAGTTTATTATGTTAGCAGCGTTAGGCTGGATCAGAGGTTTTGTTGCTTTAGCGTAGTGCAAACCATATGTTTGATGATATTATTGAATATTGTTATATATTAAAAAGGTGTTAATAAATAAAAGGGTATTCAGATTTTGCTTTCTACATTCTTCTAAATTTTATATAAAACCCCTACAGTTTCTAATGGAAATGTGGGACTGGATAAGTAGGCTATTAAGGTAGAGTAGGGGATAATAAGGAATGGAGGAATTAATCAGATACTTGGAACCAATGAGAATGGCTTTGGTCTTCTCAACATTAAACTTTAAATAGTTGCTCCCTGCCCCAGTATTGATAATATCAGTGTCTTCTTGAAGCCTATGAATCACCTCGAGCATATTGGTAGGATGGAAGGAAAGGTAGATTTGGAGATCGTCAGCAAATAAGTGATATTGTGAATGATAAATGGAATCAGGAAGGTCGTTGATGTAGATGAAGAAAAGAGTTGGTTTACTACGAGGACGGAGGAAAAGGAGTTCTATTAGGTATAATGTCTGTTTGGGATTTTTGATACAAGAAGGGATGGAACCACTTTAGAGCACTATTGGATGTGGAAAGGTTTAGGAGTTTGGAGAGGAGGATTTCATTGACTGAATCGAATGCTTTTGAGAAATCTAAGAGGACTAAGATAGTGATTTCCTGTTTGTCTATGGAGAAATGAAAGTCTTCAGTAATTTTCAACAAAGCAGATTGGGTGGAGAACTGGGATCGGAAGCCAGACTGGAGGGGAGTGAGGAGAGCTTCTTGTTCCAGGAAGGTGTTAAGCTGTGCATGGACAATTCTTTCAAGAGGTTTTGAATGGTTGGAGAGAATGAAGATGGGTCTGAAATCGAAAACTTTGTTTGTTCAACGGGCGGACAATAACTTTTTTCCAAGCTGACGGGAAACCGAATTTCGTAAGGAAAAATTGTAGATATGAAGTAGGATAGGAAAGATGTTAGAGGTAATCTTCTGACGTCAGGAGGGAATCGAGATGGATAGGGATAGGAGCCGTAAAAGTATTTATACTATATTCGCCCTTCATATTCTTGTACGCCTTTTACGTCCGGTGGTCTTCAAATGTGGGTTCTATGTGACTCTTACTGATGTTACTTGTTGATAGTAATTGCTTAATGTATTTTGCCTTTCATATTCTCAAGAAACAAAACAATATTATATTTACTATATTTTAAACTAATTGATATAACATTTTATATATATACGTATTAGTTATGTATGTGAGGGGACAATAATATTATTTGGGGGAGGGGGGGGGGCTTGCAGCATCGGCCTTGGGTGGGATGGACACCATTGATAGAATCTATGACCTAATTCAATAAAATACACTAAAAACTCTTTAAAATATATTTTTTTACCAATAAACACGTTTATATTCAAACCGAGAGGTTTCTGAATGGTTCGCCAGTGCCTTTTGCATTACCATGCAACTTCTACGATACAGTCACATATAATTAGTTTAAAAATATCAATTCAAAATAGTACTGTTCTTTTTATGTAACTTATAACAATACAAAAACTTTTTTTATGTTACAGAGACTTGTCAGATACATCTATAACTTTCTTACCTCCAATAGGATTAGAGAAACTTGAAATATTGAGGCTTACAAATACCTTTACATTAAAGGTCATCCCATCGATTTATGATTTAAGTGTGAGTTTCAAAAAAAAATTTTTTATTCCTTTTCTATTATGGGTTTCTATAAATAATTTATCTAAATATTAAGTATATTCTTTAATAATATAATTTTTCAGATGACTGGATATTTCAACAATGAAGAAATTGTTTTATTTGTTTAACTAAAACAGATTAAAATCACTTCAATATTATTTAATATAAAATATAACTCACTTGAGGTCAACCGTTAGAATTCAACCGTTAGAAAAGCTGATTTCTCAATAATGTAGTGATTACGAATTAAATAATTAAATTAAATAGACTAATTACTTTTTTTAGTTGAGAAGTGTTGGGTTGTAGTGGCATGGTAAAAATAAATAACAACGTGGGAGTCTTACACTTTATTGTGCATAAACATACATACGAGTAGCGAGCCCAACCTACGGGGAATTGTGAGGAAACAAAAGACGGAAACAGAATATATAGTAGTGGGGGCCAGTGGCTGCTTGATATCAATGCTACAATAATTTATACTCCAACAAGAAGTCAAATAATTTTTAATTTATCTAATCGGAAATTAGACTAAAACTATGTAATAGTTGAAAAAACAAAACTATGTATCAACTAATTTTATTATGTAACTTCGCAACGGTTATTTATGAAGAGAATTATTGTTTTAAGACAAAATTTATGTAAATTTTTATTGTGGCCTTACAATTTTCAATATTTTTTCTCGATTACACCCTACCACGCCATTTCTGTTATACGGAGGAGGGGAGGAGGAATTGTTAAGAAACCATAAAATTATTAATCAATTAATACTATTCAGTCCAGTCATTTGGTAGTTTGGACAGGAAAAAATTGCTGAAGAATTTTTCTCGACGGACCTGTATGTTTTTGTGGTGGTGAATCATATATATATATATAGTAATATCTCTCTCTTATACTTTATTTGTTATTGTCGTGCTTCTTTTAAAATATGTAATCTGTCCTAACTTTTATACTCTCTGTCTGTCAGTCAAATAACCCGATCTTTTTGTATCTATTTACCTTTATAATAAATAAAGATGGACTGTATAAGTTTTGATAGGATGTGGCGGATAAAGTATATTAGGTAAAAAAGCCAAGAATGATAGGGGGACAACCCCTACACATCCAGGGCTCAGCAACACATCCTCAGACGTTGCAAAACGATAGGTTACCTCACACCCCTAGGGAAAACCTGGAAGACGCAAGAGGGACTGCAGGAAACCGTGGGACAACCACGTTAATCCTACGAAAGGAGAAAGGAAGTAGGTTAGGAGAGATTGGGTCTCAGTATAAGGGTAGGTGAGGAAGGACCGCCGAGAATGATAGAAGGACAACACCTACACATCTAGGGCTCAGCAACCCGAGGAGGCAATCCCCAGTCGTTCCAAGGAAGGTGACCTCACACTCCCAGGGACAACCTGGAAGACGCAAGGGGGACTGCATGAAAACGTGGGACAACCACGTTAATCCTACGAAAGGAGAGAGAGCAGAAGGGGAGAGGAAGAAGAGCAGATAAGGCAACAAAATAACGCTCTGGTATCAAACTGTCAGACAGAGAGATCCCAGGAGACTTTGTGGAGGAAGAGGTAGTGACTCGGAAGAGAGTGTCTGCCCTAGGGACGGGGCTCCTATTTAAACTAATAATCAGCTCTCTGACCTGTTTTCTGGTTAGTGAGAGGCAACACTAGTAACAATTATTTTAGTTAGGCCCTGGGATCTCTAAGTCCAAACTCCTTTTATATTTATTTAATTATAGTACATAGTTCTGTGCATGCGCTAATATCTTTTAACCCACCTGCTACGTCGTCTCTCATAAACATCTTAATTATCAGTGAATTTGTGAACTGTTGTGCTAAAAAAACTAGTGCAATTCAACAATTATAAAATACATTCTCAAACAGATCATAAACACGGTGAGTAACCGATTGTTTATTATGTTTAAACAATAGTATAAACAACCATAGAATTAGATAGAGTGCCCATTCTTATCTACAGTTCCTCCACTTACGGCCCAGTAGTCTCAGTGCCTGTTGGGCTGTCTTATATTACTCTGCCCTCTAACTGTATCCGTAATTTTTACGTACTTCGTTAAAAAAAAAATTGTTTTAATAGTCGTTTACTTGAAATGCGATATTATCATATGATAATGTTCAGTAAGAACAAAAGATCAAGAAGCTTAGACATTAATAGCTCTCGTAATTCACCAGTAAAAAAAAGCCTAGGCGTTCTAACAGAAAAACACCACCATCTACACCAGATAAACAAAATGATGAAGTGAACGAACTACAACCTGGTTATGACCACCGAAACAAACTCTGAAATTGAAGAATTTTTTACTGCTAATCCCATACCAACTACTATCTAATACCCCAGAAGAAACTATGGAAATACCATCAATCATCAGAGACCCAAAACCACCTTCAATATTCACAAGAAACATAAAAACATTTTCCACAATTTTGCCAGCATTTAAATAAATTACTTAACAATGGTAAATACATATGTCAAAGTCGAATCAATGACACCAAATTGATGTCAGATTCTCCTGAATCATATAAAAAAATAATAAAATACTTGACTGATACAAAGGCGGAATTTCGTACTTATCAGTTATTCCAAGAGAGAGAACGAAGAGTGGTGATAAGAGGCCTCCACCCTTCAATTCCACCTAATGCAATCAAAGAAGAATTGACAGAACTGGGTTTCAAATTATCAACGTATATAAAGATAATAAAGAGAAACTACATAATTGCCAATGTTATGGCCATACTAAAAGCTATTGCCACAGCTTACCGCGACGCGTGAAGTGCAGACTGCAACATAATTCGGCAGATTGCAATTAGTCAAAGCAAACTCCTGCGGTGTGCGCGTTATAAAGATCACCCAGAAAACTACAAAGGATGCCAGACATATAAAATCTTAAATTCAAGATTACAGACAGCACCTGAAATGCGAATGGTGTTCGAAAACACAACAACGAACTAACCTTTTTTCTACAGGATAATAACAGGCATAGCCCTAATAACTAAGATCTTATTAACTAACAAACGACAGTTCAATATACCTGGCTGGAAGATACATCGAACTGACTACCCTGATAAAACAGCACATGCTAGCACAGCTGTCATCATCCACTAGTCCCTCTCCCGTCAATGGTATCCCTTACCAGTTCACAATTTTCTACAAACCTCAGCAATAACTATCCAAACTTCACTTTTTCCTGTTACAGATGTCGCAGCATAATCTCCACCTAAAATAGCAATACCTGAACCTAACTTAATTTCCTTTCTTAATTTCCTAGGACACAACTTCCTTATAGGTGCAGACCTTAACGCCAAACATCAGCAATGGGGAGCCAGAACCACGAACTCTGGCGAGCGAACATTGCTGTCTGCACTTAATTCCCACAATAACAACATCCTTCCCCCGAGTTCAGTGTTAGCATTTGAAGGGATAAGACGTACCTCCCTAGCCGCTCACAGATAACCTTAAATACATTTATTAATTTCTTTTTCTTATAACTTTTCACTTACTATTTGCTATTTACAATAAGGATTTATATATATATATATATATATATATATATATATATATATATATATATATATATATAAATTATAAGGATATATTTATTTTATTTCATTTTACCAATTATTTTTCTTTATTACTAGCTTTCTTTTATTACGTTTTATTTTATATTTCTTATATTTCCCATGGATTTAAATAGCCCAAAGGTTAAACGGATGGTGCGATACCAATTAGCCCATCGTTCTTAATAATAGAAAGATCAGATGATCAAAATTTTCATCCCCGTACCCCCCCCCCCCCAGTATCCCCGTTCTTAGTAAATAAGTTTCTTTCAGGTTTAGTTGTGCTATGTTCCTGGCCTCGCGTTTCTACGGCGAGTAGGGGGTTCCAGGAACAGCATTTATTTGTATTTATTACTTATATAGGTATTTATATCGGTCCCAGAAGGGAACAGATCTACCGAAAAATATATTAATTCTGTATTTAAATGTTAGATACCACAAACCCTCTACTGTAGTATCCTAGATTGAACCCTATAATTTTTATTGGATTTCCTTTCTAAAGGTATCATGTTTTTAAATTTACTATTTGTATTTATATCTAATTGGTGGCATGCAGGGTAGATGGTAAAAGTACTAAGATGGTTTACTAACTAATATATTTACAAATTCAAATAACCAAAAACATCTATATACAAAATAATAACTAAACCTATATACATAATGAATAGTTGAGAATCATACTAGAGGAGAATGCTTGATGTTTGATTAAAGTTACATGTATTCTATTGATTCTATTAATTAACGATTTATGGTTGCCAACACAAGTTTACATAGCTATAACTAAATAAGGGTTATTACCTAGCTGGTTCTTCATCATCTTCGAGTCTCCTTCCATGTCGCTCTCCTCAGTCTTCGTCTTCCTCCCAGTGTTCAACCGTCCTCGCTTGACCCCCAGCTTTAAGTCCTCTGGCCTGAATCCCAACTATCCGTCCATACCTTGCTCTCTCCGCCTCTCCTGATCAAGTCCCTTCCTCAAAACTCTCACCGTCCTAGCTTCCAGTCACCCCCCTCTCTTTTTGTACTTTTTCCTGATTGGTTGAATATTCCTAGCCTAAGGGATGACCACGCCCTCTCCCCCAGGCCTTTCGGTATTCCACTAACCAGATATATTTTACGTATTTCTGGAAGGTGTTAATAGTAATTCGGATCCTGTTTAAACACTCAGGCGTGAGACCGTCGTCGGTCTTGGTCGGTGGTTCTTAAGGGTTTTTATTACCACTTACAAAAGGTTGTCCTCGTGGGTCGTTACCCTCGCTCAGGTACCCAACCGCCAGGAGTGAGCACTTATGATATTTATTTATTTATACATTTAAATTAATTAAATGAATTCCACCGACGATATTTACAATACATAGCAGTTGTAGACATAAAAAATGTGGAAAAGCTAAGAAATGGTACATTACTTGAAACCAAAAA